CAATATGTACGAACTGAATTTATCGGTTTTAAAAATTGATAAGTAATCTGTTGGTAATCGATTGTTAAATTTATGGAAAAAAATCGGTTGGTAATTTGTTAGCAATTGTTACTAGTATTTACCAATGTATTTGGATGGTTAGTAAAATTCGTTTGTAATTTGAGTTTTTTGTTGTAGTAGACATGCGCCTAATGCAAATATCACGCACTGTAATCTTACATTATATAACCAAAGCCTGGGCCCATCAAATTCGTGATTTTTGACGAGTAGGTACATATAGTGTTGCAGTGAGAGTGCAAGGATGATAGCAATGCTCCAACTTCAAACCAACATAAGGATCAAATTTAGGTGATGGAGCTTATGAAGTATATCTGCAGTAAAAAGATGCAACTTTATTGAACATTCATGATAAGGGATTAAGGGTCTAATTTGTCATTTGAACTATTTGTCCCTTCCCTGAAGAAAGAGAAAACATTCGTGTCAACATAATTCCAATCAAAAAATGAAACTTAGAATTGATCAATCAAGGAATATGACAACTAGTGCCCGTTAAAGTTAACAACATCCAATCAACAAAAAAGAAGAGCAACGAGTCTATTTTAAACTAGCGGACCAATGATTGGAGAACAATTCATTATACAAATCTGCAAAGTGACACACAGTATCCTACCTAACAGAAATGCAGTATTGTAATCATCTAACAGAAATGCAGTATTGTAATCATCTAGCAGAAATGCCATCTCATGGGATACGCCTGAAAGGGGAGCAGCAAATAATCGTGTAAGATTGCTTTTTAAAACTTCTGATCACATGCTCAAAGATACTTTGTGCTAACATTCATGGCCAGTTCATAAAGGACTGGTAAAGAATTTCTTCCAGCTCAAACATCCAAATCCAAGGAAAATAAACATAGTACCTTGGAGAAAAATATACCAAAATTACCCAAATGCATAACACCAACATCCACAACTTGGAACAGAAGAAATTTCAGATCAAACAAATTAGAGGGAAAAGAGAGATTTACAGAACAGAACAATGAATTCAAAATATATTTTGCTTCCTATCTATGAAGCTGAAAATAAAGTACAATGTTATTCTTGCATACAAACTCTAACTCAGTAAAGAAAAAGTACAAGAGACTAAGCTGAAGAAAGCGGTATTGGCTTCACAGCACTTCTAATTCTCCGGTATGCAGTCCTAACTCTCTCCTTGAGACCTTCATTTTCACATTCAACATCACCAGTTTGTTTATCAAGATTAGCCACATTCCCATCAACATTTATTACCAGCTTACCGTCGTTCCCAAATTTCACGTCACCAAACAGAGAAACAAGGAGTGCATGGACTATTTTCTCAGCTTTCTTGGCATCTTCCTCCTCGTTCATCAAAGTTTCCGACTCAACTGATACTTTAGGCATCTCCCTGCTGGCATTCAAAACCAATGCCACGATGGAGTCAGATACCATGTCACTAATTGGATCTGCTGTCCAATGAAGGGANTCAGCTTTCTTGGCATCTTCCTCCTCGTTCATCAAAGTTTCCGACTCAACTGATACTTTAGGCATCTCCCTGCTGGCATTCAAAACCAATGCCACGATGGAGTCAGATACCATGTCACTAATTGGATCCGCTGTCCAATGAAGGGAGAGATGATTCTCTGACTCCTGCTTCACCGTCACTCGCTCATGCACTCGCAAACTTGGAACACCAGATTCCTCATCTGTTGAGGGCTCTACACTTTCATAGATTTGCTTAAGCCTGTGTTGTATAACGGCAAAAGCACCTGAATATGGAATTGTAATTCTCTGTGTGACATTTGCAGTGGATAGCTGAGAAAAGACATGGAGATCATCAGGTGCC